AATCAAATGTGTATTTCAGAATAACAAAATTTACAGTGTAATAAAGATCTCATTAGGTGTAATTTTAAGCAGAAGTCAAGGTTAGTGAACTCAAAGAGAGGTCTACAGAAAATACCTAAACTTAAACACACATTGAAAAAAAAAAAGAATAAAATTTTCTTTCAATTTTATAAGTGGGATGGAGCATGAAAGAGATGGCACACAGTTGAAAGCTATAACATAGATGTACTTGAAGTCCCGGAAGAAGAAGAGAGAATGAGAATGGTACAAAAGTACTTCTTAAAAAAGTAATGCTTGATAATGTTTTATGTCTGAGGAAATGCATCAGTTTACAGTTCCTGGAACTCAGCAAGCCTATGCAGGAAAAGTACAAAGAAAGCTATACCTAGGCATATGAATATCAAATATAAAGAAAAATCTTAAATATAGCTACAGAACAAAAACATATCCAAGGGAAAAACAGTAAGAATGATGGCTGACTCCTCATAGAAACAATGGAGGCCTGAGGACAATAGAATGAAACTTATAAAATTCCAAAAGTAAAAGAAAACTGTCAACATAGAACTCACTACCCAGCAAAATATATCTTTCACAAATAAAGGTGAAATGCTTTCTGTTGACCATGTTGCAATAATTGGTACCAGATTTACTCTCAACCATAAACACTTGAAATACCAAACCAATTAAATGAAACAACTGTTTGCAGATAGCAGATAGCAGGCTGCGCAGAACTGGGATCTCTGAGAGGAGGGAACCAAATGAAACATTGCCACGGCAATCTGCCCACAGGTACTTTGTAAAGTGTGGTGCAGGGAGGGCACCCAAGGCAACCCCAGCACAACACGGGAGTGTTGTTTAGTTTAGAAGACAGAGATTGGAGTTTGGAGAAGAAGTTGTTGATATTTGTAAGGAAACAGTTTTGAGATGAGGAAGGTATTTTGAGGAATAGCACCAGATATCCACATTGGGATCCCTTTGAGGCTTGGGCTAAATACTAAGCCTCATGTGTAGGAAAAATCCATGAGGTCAGGAAAAAAACAACTGCCAGGGAACAGAAGCTGAGTCCAATTGCCAGAACTCACACAAGGAAGGGAGATGATAAGATTTTTAACCTGAAAGAAGGGAAAGACCCCACTGAATTTTGAGGTGTGTATAGAGCCAACAGAAGAATGGCCAAGTAGCTGGTCTAAGCTATATTAGTAGCGAGCCTAATGTAACCATAGAGGAAAGACGATTCTGATCCCTACATAAAAGAGTAGACCAATAAACCTCAAAATTTCAAAAGAAACTGAGCTGTTTGTCATAAAAAAGTCAACACTCTTTAAATAAATTCAACAAAATAGAGACACTTGACAACCTAACATTCACAGTATCTAGTGTTAATAGAACTGTACTAGATGTGAGAAGAGACCGGACAGTGTGGTATATAACAAAGAAAATAATCAGTCCATAAAATAGTTGAAGTGACATAGGTGACAGAATTAGCAGGTAAACGCTTTTAAAACTGCTCACATACACACACATGTTCAGTAGGTTCAAGATTTAAAGATAAATATAAATATAAGGAAAGAAATCAAAGTCATAAAAAATGAATCAAATGAAACTTCTAAAACCAAAAGTGTCCAAAATGAAAAATGTGCTGAATTGGATTAGCAGCAAAAGTTAGCAACTTCAGAAGATAAGATTGGGAAATTTAAAAGATTGAGCAGTTGAAACTATACAAACTAAAGTGCAGGAAGAGAAACAAAAGGGAGAGAGTTTTACAGTGCATTAGTTATATGTGGGACAATATCACAAGGAGTGTCCTGCCCTTGGTACTCCTGGTTCTCAGGCTTTCAGACTCAGACTGAAATCCACACTTCCAGCGCTCTGGCTCTTATGCCTTTGAACTACACCACCAGACAAAGGTAAATTCAGCTCACCAAAATGTGAACAGAGGAGCGTTACTCAGGAAGCAGAAGCAGAAGAAAAAGTTGGTGTGGGAGGATAGTTCTCTTTCACAGAATAGTTCCTGGCCCCCTTTCCATGTTTCTTGAGACTTGCTGGATTATCCAGAGAAAGAAAAATTTGGCTTTGGGCCTTTGAAGTCATTTAGGTAAAATCCTTGATGATCTAAGACTCAGGATCTGATCCCAGTAGGTTGAGGAGAGCTGGGGTGGGAGGGGAGTCCATTTTAAATACCTACAGTGAACTCAGCATTCTTTTGATGCTTCTTTAGATGAGGGAAGAAGAAAAAACTTCTCAGTATCCGGGTCTTTCAGATTTGTGTGATTTTTATCTCCTTGTCCTCACCATTCCCTTACCTGAGTCTCAGAGCAGCAGAGAGATGTAGAAACTACCACGAAACCCTTTACTTGGGAGTAAATGATTAAATGATTGTGAAGTGTCTTTAGGGAAAGTCTGACAGGGCTGAATTCACATCTTAGGTCCACCACTTAGGAGGTGTTTAAGTAGCTTAACCTTTCTTTCTCTGTCCTAACTGCAAATCAAGGATTAAATACCTCATGGGATTCTTGTGAGGATTATATGAGAAAATATTTTCAAAACATTCGGCACATACTCAGTGCTTAGTAAACGGAAGCAGCCCCTCCGATGACGCTGGTAGAGAGAGTCACGGTGTTGACGGTGATGATGCTTTCTGTAAGCCCTTCACGTCTGCTCACTAGCATTTGGTATATGAATAGCAGTTGGTTCTGTAATTGAAGTACACGGTAATTGAAAGTAATAAATATTGTGCTTTTTATATTTCTTTGAAGGAGTTTGTAAAATTTCTGCACATTTGTCTGAATTGTGGTTTTGTCTTTGTTTAAGAAACAATGGATGATACCTCCCTTTTAGTAGCAGAGAATCAGAAACTCCCTGACCCAGTGAAATATATGGGAAAAAAGACATATAAAAAGACACTGTAGTGAGAATCTGGAATTTTCATGAATTTTTACTAGACCTATATTACATCATGACCTATTGAGTTTTTAACAGCAAAAATAAATAAATAAATTAGAAATAGAAATAACCTACCATGTTTGCCATGTATAATGCTCACATTTTTGCCCAAAATTTGAGGGAAAAATAAGGGTGCACATTATGCATGGGTATAATGATTACATGCCATGGGTATAATAATCCCGTGTATAATGTGCAAAAAAATGTAGGTGCACATTATACACAACAAAATATTGGGTAAATTTTCAACAGAAGAATGGACAAATACATTGTGGTATACTGTGGAATAATTAAAGGAATAAACTTCAGTCACATGCATTGCATTACTTTGTAAAATTTTCACATTATGATATTGAACCAAAAAAGCAAGTTGCAAAAGGAAATGCCTTTTGAAATTATGGAAAGTTTCAAAACATAATACAGTATATTTTTTCTTACTATATGCATACCTATCATAATAGTATTTTAAAAATACAAATAGTATACCTAACACCAATAATGATCACCTGTGGGGAGAAGGAGGAAAATGATTAAAGAGGCCACACAATAAATTATATTTGCAGTGTTTAGTGGATACATGAGTGTTCATCATATAATTTTTTCATACGGCTGAAGTATTTCATAGTTTCAGAAAAGAAGGATCCACTGACTAATGTGAGAACTCAGACTCTTTAAGACACATGTCACCCTGTTTTTCAGAATAGATAGTGATCATAAATAACAGAAATACATGGGATATACACATATATCTGAAGAAAGTGGACATATAGGGTCTGTCCTGAAAAAGTCCAGCCATTGTTAAAATAATGAGAACAGTTTGTGCAACATCAACGTCAACTGGCAGCCAAGGAGAGTGGACTGGAATGCACATGCATGAACAATGATGACTTCACTGTAGTAGTCAGTGGGGGTGGTAGATGCAGCCGACTGAGCATGTGTACCATGTGGCCATCACATTCAAAATAACTCAGTGGAGCAAAAAAATCTGCATTAAACTTGGTATTAAGTTTGAACATTCCTCCATGGAAACTGTTCAGATGATTCAGAAGGCTGCAGCTATGGGCAGCTGGTGACTGGCAGCTTCATCATGACAAGGTGCCCACTCGTATATTATGTCTTGCGCAGAGTTTTTTTGATGAAACATCAAATCAGCCAGGTGACTCTGTCCCCCTACAGCCCAGATTTGGTGCCCCATGACTTCTGGCTTTTCCTAAAACTAAAATCACCTTTGAAAAGGAAGAGATTTCAGACCGTCAGTGAGATTCAGGAAAATATGATAGGCCAGCGGAGGGTGATTGGGAGAATTGTGTGAGGTCCCAACGTGACTACTTTGAAGGGGACTGAGGACTCATTGTTCTATGTACAATATTTCTTGTATCTTCTTCAATACATGTCTCCATTTCTCATAGTATGTGGCTAGATGATTTCTGGACAGTCTATGATGTGTGACTTAGACCTGGGTCTAAGATGTAATTTAGTAATTATAAAGTGTTCAAATACTTTAAAGAAGATAGTAAGCTTTCAATATAATATTTTAAAAATTAGCATAGAATTTGTGTTCATAAACCTCAGTGTTTATTAAAAAAAACAAAATTTACCCTTTTAATAAGTTTTTTCAGGAAAGCCTTTTCGTTCTTTTCACTTTATATGTGATAAATCATTAAGCAGTGAAGACTTTGGTTTCTTAGATAAGTTAGGGAATATTGCTTACATTTTTTTTAAGAATTATGATTGTTTTGAAAGGACTGTTTGAAATTTATTCTCTGTAGAAAAATTTCTTCTTGGTTTAAGATTTTGAATATTACTTATCTGTTGATTTAGGAAAAAAGTGCTTGAATAAGTAGCTGGACTTTATGAATTTTAGCTTAGTGTTACAGCTACATGACTGATGACGATGAGGCTAGTATTTAAGGTGATTGCCATCAGGCACTATGAATTCCCACCTGATTTGAATGTAAGGGTCTTATGATGAAACCTTAAAGATATTCCTAATTAGAAAAATAATTTTGTTGGAATTTCAACTTACTAACATGGTGGTTTACATTCTTGTGTTTCAGGGAAAGGTGGCTCAGACAGCATGCATGTCAGCGTGCAAGCATTTAGCCACATCCCTGATGCATCTTCTGCTGGAGGCCGAAGTAAGGCAGCTTACCTTGGGCGCATTACAGCAGTTCAACTTGGATGTCAGAGAATGTGAACGTAAGGCAGTGAACCATCCCTCTGCTTGCTTGTTTTGCCTGCATACCCACTTCTGTGGAAAAAAATGTTCTAAATCTATGAGGTCTTTGTTCCTGATGAAGTCAAAAAATACCTAGATGACAGAAATAACTTAAAGGTTGCCTAGAAATTGTCTATCAGCAAGCTTATTTAAGCACTCAGAACTGCTTAGGCCCGTATGTCGAACACAGAAGATCCTGGGCCACGAGGCATTTTTCAATCTAGAGGGACACCGAAGAAAACCTGATTAGTTCAAAGACTTCAAAAGAGTGTAGTTGCCAACCATTTTCTTTTTATATTTTATTTTAAAGCTATTTTTATAGGTTATTTGCAAACCCTTCTTAGTCTAAAGGACAAATGTTGTTTTATTTATCAGTCAGAAATGCTTTCTAGTACAGGTAGAAACAGAAAACCTTAGACAGTGGGGTTTAAACAAATAAGTTTTATTTTTTTTTCTCAGAGACTGTGAGTTTCTGCATTGATTTAGTTGCTCATTGATGTCACCAAGGACTGGGCTCTGTGGTTCCCTCTCCTCTCCCATACTTAGTATGTGGGCTTTCCTTCCTTGTCTGTATTAGAGTGAGAAGAGGCCGGAAAAAGAGGCCAGTCTCAGCTATTCCTTTTACTAAGAAAATACACACCTTTTCAGGAGACCGCTAACAAACTTACCTGCATGTCTCATCGGTCGGAATACAGTTGCAGGGTTGCCTCTCACACGGAGGGTGACGGGAGATTGAGTGTTTGTCCGGGGGAAAGGGAGGCATCCTTGTTGGCTCTGTTGACTCATGCTGAATCATTCACTTGTTGGGTACCAAGTCCGGCCGCGGGCAGGAGGAGGCGGGAAGGACGGGTGCCGTGGTGGTCACACTGTTGTCAGCAAAAATGAAAATGAACCCAAATGATGTGACTCTAAATGGTTTTCCTGATTCTAAGAAAATTAAAATAATGGAAAATTCAATGAGTCTGCTAATACTTTTGCCCCGTCTTTTTATTTTTACTGCGTATTGGTTTTCCTTGGTTGATTTTGATGACTGGAAATTAAGAATTTATTTATTGGCTATGCTATTTTTAATTAATTAGTTAATTAATTAATGAAGACTTCCACTTCCACCCACCACAGAACAGTTATCAAAGTCACCCTTATTCCATAAACAACTGTAAAACTGAATAAAATGTATGAAGCAACTCTCTTCATGCATTGGACAGCAACTGCACAAAGTCGTGATCCTTTAGAGAGGGGACATGTACAAGGTAAGCTTGTCATTCACTCCTTTTCTGTCCGGGCGCACTATCCAAGTTGCCGCACAGGAAAGTAGGTCCCAAATAAAAAGCAGTGTTTTACACAGATAAACAGAGATTGGCAGATAGGGTTGATGAGGCAGCTGAGATTTGGGCAAGAAACTAGGGAACAGGGAGTGTTTAGAGAACTAGCTCCAGAAATCTGTATTAGAGAGCCCGTGAGTCAATGGTCAGAAACTAAGTTGCTATGTGCTGGGTGAAACTTGGTGAGGTTTGGCACAGAACGGCCACTGAGGATCTGTGAGCTGAATAGGAATGCCAGAGGTTAGAGAGTGCCCAGAGACCCTGGATTCTGACCCATCAGAGTGGAGAGACCAGCTAAAGATCTTATGCATTCAGTGAGACCTCAGAATGTTAGGTTTTAAGAGGACTACTTGAGCTCTAGAATAAGAGCTACCTGTGATTCACCATAACAAAGCCTAATTACATGACTCAACAAGATAGAAGTGATCTGCCAATAAAATAACTGCTTCCAAAACAAAACTCAATAGTCCTCGAAGATGAACAAACACACAAAAATTCAGACTCTCAACCACATAGCAGCCACAATTTCACAATAAAAAGCTACAATTTGACATGTAAAGAAGCAGGAAAATCTGATCCATAACAGGATAAAAAACAGGCAATAGAAACAGACTCACTGAGAACATAAATGTTGAAAATAGCTCCTTTTAGGAATACATTCCTTCAAGAATCTGAATAAAAATATATGTAACAATTTAAAAGAAAAGATGGGCATAATGCATGGCTGTAGCTGAATTTTTTTAGGTTTGGTAAAAAATATTAATCTACTGACTCAAAAAGCTCAACAAATCTTTAGCAGAAAAAACAAAGTCACACCCAGGTACGCTGTGGTCATATTTCTAACAAAAAAGAAAGAGAAAATCTTAAGAACAGCCAAAAAAGAAAAGACACATTACGTAATGGAGAAGCAGTGATAAGAGTTATGGCTTACTGCTTATCAGAAACAGTGCAAACTACAGGGCACTAGAGCATCTATAAAGTACTGAAAGAAAGAAAAAGCCTAGCAATCTGAAACTTGTTGGAAAAATAGCCTTCAAAAATGAAGATAAAATAAAGACATTTGCAACTAAATTTGTCACCACAAGGTCCACACCACAGATATACAGTGTGATTACATTGTTCAAAGACATGAACAACAGCATGTCCATTCCCACATGTTTTTCTCTACCCTTGCCATTGCCTCATTAAGAAATGACATCTTAGTGTTGCGGGGCGGTGTGGAGAGACAGAGTTAGGGGACAGCGGAATTGAGCAAAAAGGAAAAAGGACTTATGGATATGGACAACAGTGTGGTGATTGCTGGGAGTGGGAGGTAAAAGGTAATGGAAAAAATACAATAAAAATTTAATTAAAATAAAAAGAAATGACATCTAATTCCCCTTCCTTTGAATCTGGGAAAGCTTGTGACTTGATTGTGTCCAACAGAATGTGGCAGAAGTGGCCTTGTGACTTTTGTCGTTAGATCATAAAAGGCAACTTGTCCTGCATCCTCTTAGCTGCTGTAGGGGAAGTCTGACTGCTCCAGGTCCTTTGTGCTGGGAGGGGCTCAAATCAGCTCCTGTGGAGAGGCCACAGGGAGAAGCCCTGATGCCTGGCACTTTAAATTTTATGTTGTCGGTGCTGTATTCTGTTGTATTAGTTTAAATAGTATTAAGTTTTATTCTGAGCTGCATTTACATTACTTCAAATTGGTTGGATCCTTTCAAAACTTGCTTTTAAGTTTCTAGTAGATTCAGAGCAGCCTTTTGTCTAGGTCTTATAAAAACCCAAATCTAAAGCAATGCCCTTTGAAGAACTGTGCACCATGCCCAGGTGTTTTGAGATTTTTCAACTCTGCCTTGGTGGTAACACAAAGTATTCCCAGCTCTGTGAGAGCTCCACAGATTGTTCTGCCTGTTCATTTCTGGTGGTTCTTTCCCCAGCCGTGGGTAGTATCTTCCCATGCTCACACAGATTAGTACTCTGCCAAATATTCAGCGGTACACTTCTCTAGTTTTCCTGAGTCCTCTCTGGTAGTTGGCCTTGCAAATCCTAGTTGCCTTGGCATGCCAGACTGCAGTCTCTGACTTTCAACTCAGACTACCAGGAGTTAGGAAGTCTCAGTTGAAAGTAGGAGGTTATTTTGTTTGGGTTCCCTCCCTTTGCCACCTCTGCATCTTAGCCTGGAAACTGCTGTGCTTGCCTCGCCTCGTTTGTTTTCCCTCTTTCCAGGATCCCAGTCCTGCATTGACTGTTGTCTAATATCTACAGCCTTTCTTCCAGATGCTGCCTCCAGTTTTCTAGTTGTTTTTTCGGTGGGGAAAATGAGTCCTATGTTACTCTATTATGACCTGTAACAGAATAAATGAACATCTTTTCAAGTTTCTTTTTAAATTTAATTTTTTATAGAAATCATACCTGTTCTTTGTGGAAAATTTTGGGTGGAAAAATAAAAATCACCATAATTTCATCATTCAGAAATAAGTACAATTCCAGGCATTACATCCAGACATAATAATATCCAGCAGCCACAGAATTGTTTCAAGAATCCATTTACCAGATTCTATGCATCTAGCTGGCCAAAATTGTTTTACATCCCTCTGTCTTAACCAATTATTTACCGGGAGAATAAAAACCTAATGATTAGCTAGACCAATCAAGATTGATTTTTGATGTTGAGTTTGAAATCATTCTTCTAGTTTGGATGAAAGCATAGAACTTTATTCTGGTATGATGAAAAGGAAGAAAAGAACTTTAGGCAACCAACAAATGCCCTTGGTTAAACAACAAAGTCTAGTGAATGATTGGGAATGACTGCAGGACTGCATTTTTGATAGAGCAAAAAGAAGGAGACAGAGGGTGATAAAGCTGAATATATGGGCCTTGAGGAGGGGGAGTGATGGTCTGAGAGAAGCACTGATGAGACAGGAAAATGCCCATCGTATGGCCCAATTCTGAATTACATTTTGTATGGAAGAATGAGCAGCTTCTACTTGAGAGAATGATAGTTGAATTGGCATCCTTAGCAGAGAGACAGCTTTCAGTTAAGACTAAGAGGAGGAAAGATCATTTAATGAAAAGGTGGAAGTATAATTGAGTTTGTTAACCTTGCAAATGGGGTTGCAGAGAGCCAGTATCTTATCTGAAAAGCTGTTCAATATTTGTCATAGCCTTTCAGGCAGGATTAGCTTGAAGCTAACATGTGTAAGGCATGGCAGTGCCTCCCATAACGGTATTACCACTGCAGTTTTTTTCTAATATATTGTGGAGCCACTAAGTTTCATTGATTTAGAATTTAATGTTTCATTTCTAATTGGCAGTAATTTGTCTGTCAAGAAACTTTCCATGGACATTTATTTTACTTTAAAAGAAGAATTCTATTCTGTCTTTTGCTATACCACCCCCCTCATTTTTTTCTTTTAGATGCTCAGTGGTCTATAAAAAAATCTTAAAGAAATGATACATAAGACTCAAGTAACTATACAGAGGCGTATAAAAGCAGCCCCAAATGACAAGATAATTAACACTTACATCTTTCTACCCAGTGGTGTGTGCATGAGGTATTTTCCCTATTGTCTGTGAGTCCTTGGAAGAACTGCATAGGTCCCAAAAGAAATCAAACTCCGGACAAGATAGAATGTGAATGTTCCTTGAAGCCTGGGCTGCCACTTTCTTAAATC